GGGCAGTTTCCCACTGAAGCCTGCTAAGAGCGCTCTCGCTGATTAGAAAGCACTTCTGTCGTTTGGGAACTCTAATCCGGTCTTATCAACCCTCTGGCTTCATCGTTTACCAGGGTGGGAACAGGAGGCACATCAGCTCTGCGACGGAGTGATTTCTGGGGCCCCTGCCCACGACGAAGCAGATCAAAAGGGAGCTCATGCCTGCCAGAGTGAAGTTTTCACCATAGCAACACATGTACTCTACAAACAGTCAGGACTGAGGAGCTCTGTTGTGACTGGTCCGGACAGTGCCCCCGAGAAAGCAGCAACGGAGGGCTCAGAAAACAGAGCGAGCAAGAGAAAAGTGGCACCCATTTAGCGTGCAGGGCGGTCCCCTCGCTGTTCTGACTCCTGCGCACAGCTGACAGAGGCTGCCCAGGGACCCACAGCCCTTGTTCTAATGCACTGGATGTCACACAGAAAAGAGATGTTCTCCCAAGAGCAGCTGTCCCCCAGGCGACCTGGGGAAAAGAGGGACCCAGGGTAGAGCAAAAATCCCCTTTGGTGAGCAAATGGCCAGCACTGGAAATCACGAGGGCAAGGTCTCACAGCAACACATGTCACTCCTAAAATGAAACGCGTCCCCGGTGGCCCACGAGTCAGTATGATGGTGGAAGGTGTGCTGGTAAGACCCAGCAATGAAGCCAAGGAGAGCAGCAATCAGCATGGTCGTTGTCACTGAGGCCATCAATCAAGAGCTCGTGGGCCAGGCACAGTGCCAGGCCTTTATACAGGTCTCAGTCTTCATCCTGAAATAAGGGTCTAAAACTCACAAAATGATCAATGCCACCTTTCTGGATATCACATCTTGGCCAAGGGAAGACACAGGGATGGCTGATGAGCTATTAGGTTCCATAGGCGAGGCTTAACATGTGAGGCTTGACCAGGAGAAGAACTAGCTCCCAGATTCTGCTCCGTTGCTCAGATCACTGAGCGAAATCCAACCACAGAACAAGGGCACCCAAAAGAGTGAGTAACCCTTCTCGGTTTCCCTGGACTCATTTCTCTAGACCACCACTGAAGGTCGTCGACGTCAGAGCCTAGACAGGATACTGCATAAAGTCAAAAGCTATAAAAACTGGTGGAGAAACATCTTCAAAAGTGCACTGGAAGGTACAGTCAAAGAAATAACCGATGTTCGCAGACACAGGCTGGTGCCATTTACCTGCGTCTCCTTCACAGAAGCACAATGGAAGCAGAACTGTTTCCTGAGGCTAACAGACGGGACGGGCACCTGGCTTTGGGTTACAACGCCGATCCGTATGTCTGGGAGGATGTGAACCCGTGCCACGGAGCCCATGCACTAACAGGACTCCCATTGTATACGCAGCACACGTGTCATCCTGACAAGTCAATCACGGTGTCAGGAACAGGGAAGAAGGCAGCTCTATCGCAGCTACCCCTGAAAGCAGCAAAACCAGCCACCACTGGAAAAGAGCTCTGGGGCCTGAACCCTTAAGTCATGGCAGACCAAACTGGGAACCGCATCTACAAATGACAGGCCTAGGACTGTAGAAATATTTCCTTGTCACAGAGCCGGCAGAGCCTGCAAACGAGCTTTAAAACTAACAAAAAAGTTTCTGTTTCAAAATGACATTTTAGAGGTAATGTATAACTGCTTCCTCTCTGTTCGATGCACGCCCCCTACCCCCCCGCCCGCCTTTTTCTCATTCTCCATTCACTAATGAGAGAGTTTTCCTCTTTCCCTGCCTGTTTCAGTTTGAAACGTGGCACTGAAGAGGCCACGGGAAAGCAAAGGGAAAGGGGAGGGGAAGGCTGCTCCGATCTGACGCACGCACACACCCCCGGGCGGGCCGCCCACACCCTGAAGGAGGGTCAGGCCCAACTTGACCGCCACCAGGACCAAAGAACCAAACCACTGGGTAGAAAACTCCCACTTGCACCAACTCCCCCGAAAGCAGAGTTAAGAAAGAGAAAGCTGGAAGGGAAGGAGGGGGAAAATAAAGCTCCACATTCCTGACATTTTTTAGCCAAGTGCTGTGACTGCACAGAACAGCTCTATTCCAAACAGCCTTGCGGAATAGAAAGAAAACCTGGGTGCAGGGCGAAGAACCTGCCCCCCCACACACACCCTGGAAATGAGAGAAGGAATTTTAGGACAGCCCGAAACTAAACCAGAAGGAGGAGGGAGGGGCACTTTCATGTGTGTTCCCCAAAGGAAGTGATCCCCAAGGAAGCTATCCCCAGGGAGGAAATCTGGAGTCATCATCTCCTAGGGTCCTAGGGCGTGGGGAATGAAGGCCTCCCCTAAATGCTGGCAAGCTGAGGGTGAGTTGGGGAGGATCCACCAGCCAGGATGCCAGGGGCTGTGGCTGCCTGGGGGAGGCAGAGGGGTCCAGCTCATTGGCAGAGGCTGGGCAGAGGACCCCAGAGGGAGGAACCGCCAGGAGAGTCACTCCTTGTGGGAAGAATCATAACTGTGTTTTCCTGACTCAGCTTCTGAATGAAGGAACTCTAGCTCTGCCCAAATTAGAAACCCCAGAGCCTGACATCCTCTCTCCCTATCTCCCCTTCCCTTTCCACCCCCTTCCGTTCTCACTTCTAGGAAAAAGGTTGTTAAGTGCTGGACTGCCCCTCCCCCACCATACGCATCCCTACATGTGCCACACCTCCAGGGGAGAACCCAGAAGACCCTAAATAAGATCTAGTAAGTCCTGTGCTGTCCTCGCATACGAGCATACATGGACAATTCCACAACAGACCTCAGACGCACCTTCCAGAAAAGGTGCCCAGTGCTGTAAAGCCAACGGCTGCTGGTCTAAGATTCGGCAGACAGGGGGTGGTGGGAAGACGGAGTCAGTTGGCAGTGCATTTCTGCCAGGGTCCTTTCCAAACTCTCCAGGCCAATCCCAAGATGGGGGGTGGGAGGGCTTTTCTGTTATGTCCTCCATCCTGGACCTTTCTCTTCTGGCAGGTAGGTAGGGCTCCTAACACTTTTCAACTGCCACAAAGTTCCAGTTTCATGCATTGGACTTTCCACAAGATTGAAGGCAGGACAGGGAAGAAGGTACCCAGCTCAAACCGTTAGCAGCTCTTTTAAGCAAAGATAAAACCCACAGAGCCACGAACCTTAGCAGTTGCCTGCCATGCAGCAGAGGTGCAAGTATGCAAGAGACCCCGCTGGCCAAAGGGCCTGTGGCTCTAAGGGCTACAGCTGTCACGTGTGTCTTTCCAACCACTCCCTCCAAGACTGGTGACACGGCGCTGGGAGGCCTCTTAAGAACAGAAGACAGCAAACAGATACTGAGGATATGGGCTGCAACAAACAAAATTCTTGTTTCATTAAGCTAGTACTATGATACAGTACAGGGTCTCAGCAGCAAGCAACCTGTTCTCACATTTGTAGCTTCTGTTTGGGTTCTTATTCTATTGCTTACATGATCTCAGTTAAACCTTTCAATAACCTTGCGAGGAAGACAGGTTTTACTAACCTCTTTAGCCAAAAGGAAACTGAGGCTGCGGTCAACTCCTCAGTCCGACTAGTGACAGAGCAGAGACGGGGACCCAGGGACGACCCTGGTTTGACAGAGTCAGGATGAATATACCATGAGAGTTGTGGGGTGGGGAAAGGAAGGACGGAGGGACAGAAGTGGAGGAGCGCTAGCAAAATCTGGATGGCAGACCGCAATCCTGGTCCCAGGTTTGTTTCCTACAGACCCCGAAGCCCAGCCAAGGGTGCATTCACACATCCAACCCTGACTCGCCACCATGAAAGTGTCCCCAGCCTGAGGACAGCTTCAGGGCTAAGTAGAACCCCTGTCATCCTTAGAGGGGAGATAGGGAACTGAGAGAGAGAGGGCTTCTGAAGGAGAAATTAGCCACACTGGGAAGCCTCCAATTCCAAGGCTGTTTATAAATGGTTACAGCTTCCTAACCCATGCCCAAGAACACAGATAAGCAACACAACCCAGCAGGGAGGACCAGGCACGCCTCAAAGGGGACATCATCCATGAGAGTGAGGGGAGTGTCACTCACATAATCTCACTCTTGAGACAAGATATGCCAGAGCAAGCCTAATACTCACTTTTCTCCAGTTCTTTCCACTTCGGATATCACATTTTTCTCCCTCTCCGGAGCAGAGAATCATTCCCTTGGATTCTGACCCCCAGGTGCCTTATTAAAACTCTGCTTGGTGAGGCCCACACCAGGGCACTGCTGTCCCGGTGAGGACCCATCCTCTCCAGCCCCTGTCCCCCATAGCTCTGAGAGAATCACCTTTCCCCTAAAAACAGAGACTATCCCTGTCCCTCTCCTTGCCCCTGTAACAGGGGAGAAGTTCTGGGTCCACTATAGATGGATCTAAATGAACAGTCCACAGAGTAATAAAGGGTATATGAAACCTCGCCTTTCAGGCAAGGGCGAAAAAAGGGAGGAGGGGCAGGAGGATGGCAGAAGGGCACTGCTGGGATGGGGCCAGGACCACACGTGAACACCCTGAGCATATCCCAGACGTGAGGATGCATTAGAGCTGGAAAACCAGGTGAGACGTGGAAAAGAGTCAAGGTCCCTCCCACTGGAAAAGCCAGAGGGAGCTAGCTGGCGGCCACCGCCTGAGAGGGGGAATTGTGCAATGACCGCGGGTCTGGGAGTCTCCGGGCTTGACTCCAGGACACCAGAAAGGAAACCCCACTAGTCGGGCCAGGGTGGCAGCGCTGCGGTTGATTCAAGGCCAGGCTTAGGATCCAGGGCTGCAGAGAACGCTGCAGGATAGGGTGGGTGCTCAAGGGGGCGGCAGAGCAGGACAAGGCTGGCAGGGCACTGAGCTGAGGGGTGGCGTCCGGGCTGACCAGGAGGCCAAGGGGGCGCAGAGTGCACAAAGCCGGGGTGCGGAGAGCGTACATGGCAGCCAGGCGCCCGGGCTCTGACGGGGACCCGCGGGACCTGCAGGGCTACGCCGGGCGACGCACAAGAGGGGGCACCCCCTCTCCAGTTTCGCTCACCTCGAACATAAGCCCGATGAGGACGCAGAGCACCAAGCAGAAGCCGATGTCCGCATGGTTGTGGATGACGAACTCCTGGCTGAAGAGCGGGTAACTTTTCGTCCTCCTGCGGAAAGCCATGGCAGCGGGCGCGCAGCGGCCGGCGGGGCCCGCACCCTGCGCTCTCGAGCCGCCGCGCAAACTTCTCCAGCCCCGGCCCGGTCAGCCCGCCGGCCCGCTGCCCCGCTCGCCCTCCCGCGCGCCGGCCTAGCGCCCAACAACTTCTGGGGCCCGCCCCCTTCCTCCGCCCGCCCCCGCCCCCGCCGCCCGGAACCGCCCCCGGCCGCAGCCCCCTCCCCACCCGCGGCCAGCACTCCGCGCGCCGGCTTCGCTGCGGCCCCGCCCCCCGCGCGCTTAACCCTCTGGCCGCCGGGACGCGCAGGGGGCGGGGCCGGCGCGCGGGGCGGTGAGCGCGGCCCGGGTCCCCTGGCCCGGCGCCCGCCTCCCGGCCCGCCGCCGCCGCACCCCGCTGCATTCTCGCTGCTGTGGCCGGGCCGCCTGCCGCGCCCAGGGAGCAGGCCGCGGGGGGCGCTGACGCCCGGCCTTGCCGGGACAGGAAGTGGGCCTGGGTTTCCCACTTCTCGGCGCTCGCTTCTTCCTCCGCGGGAAGGGAAGGGCCGGGGAGGCCGCGGCCGGGCCGAGCGGGGTGGGCCGGGTAGCCGGATGCTCCTTGCGGGGCCGAGAGCAGCGCAGGTTCGGTGGAGGGAGGAGGGCTGCCGGCGGGCCTTCCTGCTGGATGCAGCGCCAGGCGCGGATGATCAATGAATCAAGTCAACCAGGTGTTTATTGAGAGCTGGCAGTGACCTAGGCACGGTTCGGATTGCCGGGAATAATGCAACAAACAAAAAAAAAAACCTGCCCCGGGGTGGCCTGTTTTCCAATGAGGGGAGTGGATGAATGGGTGCAGGTCTGCTAACTTCTGAGACATTTGTGCTACTATAAATTAGTTCTACACGTCTTACCCAAATTCTGCCTCAAATATTAATTGCTCTGAAGAATAAACACGTTAGAAGAAAAAAGAGGCACTGTCTCATGTAAAGTTTCTATTTAATATTAAGGTTTAAAAGTACTCCTGGAAAGGACAAAATGTATTTTTAATAAATTAATTTATATAGGCAAATATTGGATTCATTCCTACCAGTAATGAAGGAGCCAACTAATCACTTTATAGCTGTGCAAAAATGCAAAATGAACAAAGAACTCTTTAATTCCTATTCTCTTTTTCATTAGGTCCACAGTTATTTCACTTCTAAGTAAATACAATTTCTTAAACATGGCACGTGTACGAAATGTGCTTGAGACAGGCCTTGACTTCCTAGATAAATTTGACATCTGAAGTTTCTTCACTTGTCAGTATTTAGCATACAACCTTTGGTCTTTAATTTGTATGACTTCAGGAAATGAGAAAGTAATGCCTATATTCGACTAAACATTTAACTTCAAGGCTGACCTTTCTTCAAGCTGGACCCAAGTCTCATGAGGAATAGAAAGATCAAGAACTATAGAGCATCTTAATTTTTCATCTATGAAAAGGTGTTCATATTTTCAAACTGCAGCCACATCTATTAGGTTGAACCCTATGCAATCAGTTTCTCTATAGGTCAAAACTAGAATACCAGCATTTCAGAGGGTTCAACCTAATACTTTGCTCATGTTTCCGCATGATCATTTGTAGAGGATATCATGGTGGGAATTTCTTGTAAAAAGTGGGATACTGTCAACCTCTTTACACTGTGTTCAGGCTGAAAGTCCCAGAAGATAGTTAGGAATTATAACCTCCAGGTTTATAAATGAGAAATGCAAAGTGGATAGCTTAGACATTGCTCATACTGATGACTGCCAGCCCTGAATCCTTTCAAATGCAATTGAACAACTAGACAAAGGGTTCTTAGATGCATGGTTTGGTATTCACTACCTCGAAACCCCAGGGAGGAAGCACTAGGTGCCTACTTCAGCCGTCCCAGCCATCTCTAAGTCCTAGTTTTGTTTTGTTTTGTTTTGTTTTGTTTTTTAAGATTTTATTTACTTATTTGATACACACAGACAGAGATCACAAGTAGGCAGAGCAGCAGGCAGAGAGAGAGAGGGAAGCAGGCTCCCTGCTGCGGGGCTCAATCCAGGACCCTGGGATCATGACCAGAGCCAAAGGCAGAGGCTTAACCCATTGAGCCACCCAGGCGCCCCTCTAAGTCCTAGTTTCAAAACCATCTTCAACCCCAGACAGACCTCTTCCCAACTCCTCATCCAATCGGGCATGGAGCCTATGAATCTCAGCACCTCAGAACAACCTCCCAACAATCCCCCAACCCAACATTCTTCACCTGGCCCACACTAATTACCCACAGATACCCTGCCTCGAGTATCCCCCTCCTTTAATACACCATTCCATCAGAAATATCTGTTGAGCACCTACTAAGTGCCAAACACTGTGCTAGTTACCAGGGACGAAAGATAAGACAATCCATGTGTGGTGGTTTTAAAATATGTCCTCAGATTCTTTGATACTCCCTTCAAGCAGTGGCAATTGATCCCTCCTCTCGAATGTGGCTGGACTTGGCAGATCACTTCTAATAAATAGAATATGGCATAAGTGATGGTGTGTGACTCCTAAGACTAGGTCATGAAAGATATTTTTGTTTCCCCCTTTCTGTCTTAGATCACTTGTTCTGGGGGAAGCCGACTTCCCCATTGTGAAGATACTCAAGCAGCTTTATGGAGAGGTCCATGTGGCCAAGAACCAAGGCCTCCTGCCAACAGCCAGCACTAATTTGCCAGGCTTGCCACCTTGGAAAGATCTTGTAGCCCTCGTCAAGTCTTTACGAACACAGTCCCAGCCGACTGCAGTCCCATCTGACCTCTTGACCGGATTTGGAACTGCTTTAATATAAGATCTACAGGAGTGAAAGGAATCAAAACTTTTTTTTTTAAGATTTTATTTATTTTTTTGACAGACAGAGATCACAAGTAGGCAGAAGAAAGAGGAAGGGAAGCAGGCTCCCTGCTGAGCAGAGAACCCAATGCGGGACTCAATCCCACGACTCTGGGATCATGACCTAAGCGGAAGGCAGAGGCTTTAACCCACTGAGCCACCCAGGTGCCCCAAAAGGAATCAAAACTTAAAGCTGGGATGATATAAATGATGGTGGCGTCATTAAAAAAAACTATGTGGGCGTGCCTGGGTGCTGCAGTCGGTTAAGCGCTGCCTTCCACTCAGGTCATGATCCCATGGTCCTGGGATTGAGCCCCACATCGGGCTCCCTGCCTGCTTCTCCCTCTTCCTCTTCCTCTCCCCGCTGCTTGTGGGCCTGAGCTCTCTCTCTCTCTCTCTCTCTGTCAAATAAATAAATATAATTTTTTTAAATAAAAAATAATTTAAAAGTTTTTGTGGAACAACAGAGAAAGAGCAGGCATAAGAGGAGAAGATGGCCTCACCTTTGAATAAGCTGGGCTTGAGGAGTCACGAGACATCCAGATCGCCACTTTGACAGCTCAGGTAAAAATGGTTGTTCGACTGGAGTTAGGGAGGGAAACCCAGAATTAAAGGTGTTTGTGGTTCATCTGCAATGGGACTGTTGAAGCCGAGAGGCTGGAAGTAAGCGATCCCCGGAGAGTGTGCTGAGTGAGAAAAAGCCTGAGGGCAGCAGCATCCTAAATAGGGAACCCCAAGCCGAGAAGGGAGGAGAAGAAAAGGCAAAGTGTGGGGTGCCGGAAGCCAGGACACAGGCATTTCACAAGGCTAGGGTAAATCGGGCAGGATGCAAATAAAATGAAGCCCCTAGATGCAGTCATTATGGAATTTGAGAGCATCTTTTTTTTTTTAGAGCCATTTTTAAATGGACATTGGAGTGGGCTTCACTGTGGGTAGAAGATGAGAAAAGGAGGTGAGAGAGTAGTCTATTCTTTTGAGAAGTTTGGTGAGGAAAGGGAAATTAATAGTGTCTTGGGGGATAGAGAGGATATAAGGCAGGATCTTTAAATTACATATTTTTTTTGAGATTGGACCATGTTTGGAGAAGAAACAAGAGAGAAAAGGCAGAACTGAAAATACTTAAAATAATACTAGAGATCATTGAAAAATCAAGGAGAACAGCTCCAACCATAAGCGGAAGGAAAACTCCTCAGGCTGGGGCAAGGACCTAAGAATGGGTGAATATATAGTTACATCTGGAGGTGGAGGAAATAATTACCTGTCATGTTTCTATTGCACTTTACAGTAGCCCTGTGAGGAAGGCAAGATGGTTATTACCAACCCCTGTTGTCGCTCTTCTGAGACACATGAATGACCAAGGGCCACATAATTAGTGGGTAGCTGAACCAGGACTCAGACCAGCAGGTCAGCACAGGGTTCCCTTTGCTAGACCACCCCGCAGCATTTCGGACTTCCGAAAGCATGGCACTGATCAGGGCCATATGGTCTGTCTCTCCACCTGTGCCCTCACGGCTACTGATAATTCTGCCACACCAACTCTTAACTAAATTGGAGTAGCCCCTCTCTCCAGAACAGATCATGTAGCTTCCAATCTTCATGTCTTTGTTCCCCTCACAAGGCCTTTGTTCCATGTCCCTTTGCCAAAATGGTAACCAGCCCTCAAGATAAAGACAGTGCTGGGGCGCCTGGGTGGCTCAGTGGGTTAAAGCCTCTGCCTTCGGCTCAGGTCATGATCCCAGGGTCCTGGGATCAAGCCCCCCATTGGGCTCTCTGCTCAGCGGGGATCCTGCTTCCCAACCTCTCTCTCTCTCTCTCTGCCTGCCTCTCTGCCTACTTGTGATCTCTCTCTGTGTCAAATAAATAAATAAAATCTTTAAAAAAAAAAAAAAAAGGTAAAGACCGTGCTTCCCTCTTGAAGCTATCTTCAGGGCACTGGGCTGGAGGCATGGGCACCATACTGTGTACATACCTCTCAGGTAGCAACACGTTCTCCTGCAGTGTATTTGTCTATGAGTTTTATCACCCCCCCACCCTGCCTTTGAATAGTGTCACCCTTCAGGGCAGGAATCTAGCCATTTGCTCTCTTTTCCAATAGCACCAAGCACAAGAATCCCATATGGCATATTCTCATCAAGTGTTGGTTGAATGAATGATTGAATAAGAGGTGCTGTTGCCTAGGCTGGTATAAAGGTAACTGTTATCCCCAACAAATGGAAAATGTATTTTCTCACATAACAAGACATCCTGAGTTAGTTCATTCCCAGAAGTAAATG